ATATAAAAGATACATTGATCAATCAATTATTCACGAATGATATTTTTTAATTCCGGCAATTATTATGCTGGGGATGAGGTGTCGGTGATGATGTCTATGTTGTATTTAGACTTAGTTACGCCTGAGAAGAATTAGTTAACATAATCAAAAGTCTGTGTAGACAGATTTCCAAGCCGTTTTCATTTCGACGCGTTTTGGGCAAAAACTTACCATGACGATCTGTACGAAGCACACGGTAAAAACAAATACCAATCCTACCCAATATGCTAGTGGCAGTCAGAGTTCCTGATTTATAGCACTCCCTGTCGACTTGCATAACTCGACTTATTGTTTATATTTTCGTCCATTTTTTTATATGCATGTACTATTTATCACTCGACATTCGGCATGACTATAGAAAATATATCTTAGTTGGATTAGAGCAAAAACATTGTTCGAAATGACCTCGATTGACAGGTACAAACATTCACGTGCAAATGTATATTTAAGTTTGATTTCAATCAACAGAAAGAAAAATCTCAACATTAATTTAACTTTGAAAAAAAGTTTATAAAATAGTTGCTGAACGCTCAGAAGAAATTATTAAATTAATCTCATTATGACCTCTCCCCCAGTTTTTTTGGTGGGTTTCGTGTTGTTTAGTATTTAGTTTTTTATGTTGTGTTTTGTGTACTATTGTTTGTCTGTATGTCTTTTTCTTTTTTAGCCATGGCGTTGTCAGTTAATTTTCGATGTATGAGTTTTAATGTCCCTCTGGTATCTTTCGCCCCTCTATACAATATCATATATCTGTCTGTGTACGAGACCGACATGATGAGTCGGATTTTTAAGGTATAAGAACAGCACATTATTCTGAAACCAATCTGATTTGTAATACAGTTACTAATAAAAGCTTTGTTCTGCGTTATTATCTGTGAAACATCAAATACCAGTTTTAAAGATTTTTATTTGGCCTGTCCCCCAATCAAATATAAGTCCCCCTCCCCTTGTGCTCAGACGCAAGCACGCTACCTCATCACCATCAAGGTGGTGGGTGAATGTAGAATCACAATATATTTTAAAAACCAATCATGATGAAACAACTATATGAGATATATATTTGAGATAACTCAGTCAGTACTTGATAACACAAGATAATCGAGTAATCGACCGAAACTTATTGTTAAAATGTTTTCCTTGTTCCTGTCCTCTGTTTAAATGGTGTTTTGACCACTTCATGCGTGGGGATTTTAAAGAAAGCAAATGTTTTCCGCAATTAGAAGTACATGGCATAAGAATCAATAAACAACAGATCGAACTATGCCTTATCTCAAGAAAATCTCAGGCTCATATTTGCAAAAATCCTTGAGTTCTTTATTAAAGTATCTGTTTTTTATTCAAGATTTCTAATCCAGGTGATGAAATGTCAAATCAAATGGTAACAATCAACATTTCTACGAACTGAGTTAATAAATGTCAGTCCAAGGTCCTTGCATATTTGTGTCTATTCGTATTTTGTTTTGCGTGATAACGAATAAACAGCAAAAAATCAAGGTGTTTGAATTTCTTTTATTTATTTTTGTTCACTTTAAAACGAAAACGAAAAAAATGTGGATGCAATGATAAGACACAAGCCGAAATAACAACATCTTGATTCATTTATTTCGATTCTAAGTATAAGCCATTTCAAAAGTTGGAAAAGTAGAAATTTTCACCTATTGCAGGGTGTATTTGGAACTCAAGATAAAATGAATGTCGTCTCAATTTCATGCATAGCTACTTCTACCTAAAATACTTATTGTGAGCGTGACTTCTTAACACAGGTAAGGTACATTTATCAAGTTTATCAGAGAGAAACAAATCAAATTATTTTAACTTGCTTGCATTCCCTGATCTACATGAAACTAAATGCCCTCATAGTCTCGGCATCGGAATTGTCTGTTTTTATTGCACTTCTTTTGATATTGAATCCAACTGTTTTGATTCGAGCGTCACATTTGAGTCTTATGTAGACAAACCTTCCATTGGATGTACAAAATTATAAGCCTGGTAACTTTGCTTTGTTTTCCCAAGCAGATTACAAAGCAATCCTAAGGTTTAGTTGACATAAAACAAGGAATTCTGGGATAACGTTTTGTCCACATATTTGGTCGGGAAAATTTAGAAAATTGACGAAATCATAGATTTAAATGAAAACAACTAAAACTAAAAATATTTAGTATTGATACACACTGTACACCGCATCCACACCCTCTGTTTTTGTAATACATAAATACATAAAGCAACAATCTTTTAGATTGAATTATCAGGCTCCTGCAAACATTGTAAAATTAAATCTACAGATTTCGAATACTGTAGATTCATTTATTTTCGTGGGTATCAATTTTCGTGGATAGAGAAAAAAAGACGTTCATTGGTATACGTAAATTCGTGGATCGCTGATTACAAAAAAGAAAAAAAATCAGATACGTAATTCGTGGATTTCTTTTTAATTTAGGAGATCATATAACCTCCTTGGTTTGATCAATAATAAAACATACAAAAAAGAAGGATTTCATTGAAAAAGTTTTGAATTGTCAAAATCCTCGCTTAGTCATTCTAGGTTAAAGTTTTCATTGAAAACTTCTATTACAATAATGGACAGAGACAACTAATTACTTGTTTTTTTACAATTTATAAATTTTGCTCGGAATTTTATAAGGCATTCAAAATTCTATGATTGAAAGCTCATTTCCCTAATAACGATATAATAAACAGTCATATAAGTAAAAGGTGTGAAAATAAATGTTCCTGTCATAAACAATATTACCTACGGGCAATATCCACGTACTTAATCCTATTGATTGTTAATCACCAGTAAACCACACTATGACACGGCAATTAACAACTTGCAGTTATTTTCCATGAACAGTTTTATTCAATTTTAAAAAGTAAATTATCACTGATATTCGATATATTTATTATTGACTTAATCAAAATACTTGTATCTTCTTTCAATAAATACACGTGTTATGTTACAATGTTTATCGCTAGTCAACACCATACTAGAACTGCATAACATAACCGGATATAAACATCCGACTCCATACACATTTCTCTGGATTATTCTTCGTTAAATTCTTAAATTCGCGGTTCGCTGTGACCCACGAAACACACGAAAATTGGAATATCACAAATAAAAATGAATCCACAGTATACATCTCTGTGATTTTGATATGCATTTAACTTGCTGAAGCGATCAAGGATAAATCCGAATTTCCATTGGAATGAAAATTTAACATGCATATTAAAAGCACGGCAACAAAATAGAAACACTTCATCAAATATCAGGGCAGACCAGTAGCAACTAGCTATACAAAAAGGATCCTAAGTTAAGGATTTACTCGTTGCACGACAGCTAGAACTTGACCATATACTTAGCAAATACGCCTACGTATTTGGTCACCTACGTAACCATATTATATATTCATAAGAATCATACTTTTTGTGCTATTTATCTTTTTAATCGGTTAATTGTCTGTTGACATGTTTTTGCTGAACAAGCGAAACACAATTTTTGTCTACTGGGACCACGAGACTCGTCAAAAAGATATGTTAGGACAAAATCACAGGCAATCATTTATAATTCATTGATCACTTAACCATTCCAGCAAACACATATTGTCTGCATTTGACATGACAAATGTCTTCCACCAGTAAAACAATAGCGATCGTAACATTCTCACTTGTTATTACGCAAATATGTTGTCAGCAATCAGAATGAACGACTAGCTAATTTCTTGCTGCTAACGCAGTGCACTAACACACTATAATTGCAGCAAGAAATTAGTCAACAAAACGTTAATATCGTTTGTGTATTTAAAGCTGGATCACATTAAATAACAAATATTCGGGTACGTAAAGGAAAGGCTTGATGGATCTTTCTTTTATCGTTTTTAAATACATTTCAGACATACTTTGGCATTCAAATGAATTCTGTTGAAATTAGCAATTCTTACAGTATAATTCTTGCAGATAGTCAATACAATCAGTTTTCAATTCAAAAAGTAAGGAGATGAAATATGAATGCCAATGAGACATCAATCTACCAGAGACCTGATGACTTGGATGTAAGCAACTATGGGTCGTAAGTCCCTGTACGGTCTTCAACAATGAGTAAAACCCATAACGAATAGAAAGATATAAAACTACGATATGACAAAATGTTAAACAATTTAAAAAGAAAAACCAAAGTCCTGATTTATGATTGAAGAATTAACGAAAACATATCTGACAGACAGCCAACAACCACAAATATTGACATAACGTAGGAAGATACTGCTAATACAGTTGGAAAGGGATTTACTATTAAGATAGACACGAAGCACTGAACACAACTACCAAGAAGACAATAAAATACAAAGCAAAAGAACTCTCGGTTACTCAAAGCTACTGCAAAGCCAAATACAACTAGTAAATATATTAAGTGTTCCAGACAAGTGTCAGTCAGTACACGACCAACCAATAAAGTGTAAAGACGTCATGAACTGGCTTAAAAAGACGACATTATGCAATGAGAATATATAAATATCGACCGGAAATAGGACCATAAGTGTTCATGTCTGAATTGCAATACATCTTTAGTTATGTATAAATTTATTAAAACATTGTAAAACAAAATCTATGTTCAACTATCTTACTACTCTGTAAAATTGATAACCTAAGAATAAATGTATTCAAGTGATCAATAAATTTACATGGATGGTATCTAAATTCACGGGCTCTTTAACGGTAAAAAGCAGGATGCGATATCCTGTTTGTAATACAGTTTCCATAGCTACAACCAAATGTTCAAGCTAAATCTTTGTATCTTTGAAGAATTTAATAAAAGGTTTCAAGCTGTTTGATGTAACAAAATCCCTGAATTAATAAGTTAGTTGTTATATTTAAATTATATTCATTGAAATCTAAAACGTCCTGTACCAAGTTGGGAATACGACGGTTATTTTCAGTAATTCTATTGGTTGATACAGTGTAAGGTGTAGTTTTGTCATGTTTTATTGACTTCCCCCTTTTGAGTTTACCTCAGAGTTTGATATTTTTTAATACATTTTCAGACACGGGCATATACATGTAAGTATTAACTCAAAACACTTTCCCTATACTTATATATGTTACAATAATACTTCATCCATTTGTTACAGCAGACTCCCATGAACAACATATGGGATTGTCAATCTTTTAAGGCATGAGTTAACCTTCAGATGGCGAATTTACCCAGTTTGTACTATTTGATTGCGCTGTCTTCCTCACATTTTGTTTTATTCGTAGCTGTAAGATGTGAATATTGAACATGCAATACAAATAAGCATACATAAAAGTTCAAGCAATGAGAGTCGCACATCCTCCATTTTGGAAATATTGTTCGCTTTTCGCCACTCTCTCATAAAGAAATGTATTTATAAACGTTTTATTAAGTTGTGTTTGAAAGAAAGTTGAATCAGTGTTATGCTGTCGAGATATTTTTCTTAAAAAAAAATTTTCCATACAATTTCAAGCATTCCTGTCGAAAAGTTCTATCAAAAAGACAAAATACGATAGGATTGGCTGCATTGTTGACAAAATATCCGCGCACTAGAATGTTGGATACTGGTCGGACAATATTTTGATACATTTTAGGATTTAGCATTTTGATCATTAATGTGAAAACATACAACATATATCCTATATAGGAAATAGCGGTTGCCATCATGAGGCTTATTGTTAGTCGAATCGTATTTCCAAGATTGTGTGTTGAATGAGTAGCCTTTTTCTTTTCACTGTTAGAAAGTTCAATGTGCACTTTATTTATTTTTTCCTCCCCATTTTGAATAGTAGATATTACCTGGGTGGTCTGCGAATGTAAATTGGAAGACGAATCTGGTTTCTTCCCTAATGATTCCCTCCAATCTTTCCGAATACAAATTTTAAACAGTATTCTTCCATATGAAACGATGCACATGACAACGCCAGCTGAACCTATGATTACTAATATAATGTAATAAACTCCTACATTAAGTGTACACTGATACTTTGTTAAAATTTCACAATTCTTGCCGGTCAGGCCAAAAATGTATGTTTCTTTTTCGTTCAGACCATAAAATATAACTGCAGGAATTGACAATATCGTGGATAATCCTATCAGACTGGCAGATATGACATTCGACCTTTGTGAATTAGCAAATAATACGGGCAAGTTTTTGACAACTATCTTATATCTTTCAATAGCAATTGAAGTCAATAAACAGCCGGAGGCCACTGTTACAATGTGATTTAGAAATCTAAAGAATTTACAAGCACCGACAGATGAAAATGTGTAGTTGTATCGGATATCAAAAATCTCAAAAGGCATACAAAACAAACATGCTGTAAGATCAACAAGGGAAAGCCAAATGATAAAAACTCGAACGGAATATTTTGCCATGACAGGCGATAACTTATATACTAAGACTGTGTGTATATTGCCAATTGTTCCTACGATTGACATAAATAGCAATAATATTGTAGCTGGTATCCCTTTGTCCAGAAAGTGATGGTATTCTATTTCTCTCAAACTTGTAAAAGTTCCGTTTGTAAAATTTGATGCCATTCTGAAATGATATAGAAGAAAAATTACAGCTATTTCATCTCTTTTCATTTCAACAATATAAGAGAAATATTTCAATGAGGTATGGTATTTGCCTTAAGGATTTACATCTGTGAGGAGCCAAAAATTTCTAGAATTAAACTTTTTTTCTTAGCCTGGGTTTATATGACTGTAAAAAAGTAAATGATGGAGAAAAAATCATATGATGGTGCACTTCTTTTTTTTCTTTGGTCAATTGAATGTGTCCCATTTTAAAGATTTTCCCATTTTTATCCTTTTTTACCCATTTTTGGGCTTCTGTATTATCATGAAAAAAATCACAATTTCACAATTAAACTTTTGTTCATACTCTCACTAAAGACGAAGTGAACCAATCTGAATAAATTTAACCTAAAAACACTATAGATTGATGTTGAATAGTTAGATAAAATATTGTTGCTTTTTTGTGTCAAATAGACAGTGCTGTCAATTTTGTAAATTTGGGATTTTTCTCGTCTTTTTTAGAACAAAAAGCACATTTTTCAACTTCTTTGTTATAAATAATTGAAAAAATACATATCTTAGAATTCTTAGAAGAAAAAAAATATATGGGATGTACATTTTTTTGTTAAAATAATAACATTTTGGCTGATGACACTGACCAGATTGGTTATAAAATTTCTAAAATTTTATTAATTCAAAACTACTTATTGTAAGTACACAATTTTTTCACAGAATTTAGTTTGATAATAATTTTTTTTTAAATTTATTGATCATGTTGATATTTTCTACTTGTATCTCAGGTTTTGGAAATAATTCCCGAACTAGATTTCAACGAGGCTGAAACCTCAGAAGAATACATCCTTAAATCAACGATTCAATTTATATTTTTCTAGCGGAATGTAACATTTTTATTGGCGAAAATGAAACATACAGTGATGATTTGGTGAAGAACATGTAAATGTTAATTAAATAGGAACCCTGATTTGTGGTAGACACCGATGATAAGCCAGATAATTAATGTGCTAGTTCACAACATGAAAGTTCAATTCACAACAGTTCTCAGGAAGACATAATATCCTACCGCATCCCATTATTCTGAATCTGAGCCGACAAATATTTGCTCTCACTCATAATTGCCGCGTTCCTAACGTCGGAGCTCTTACAAATTTTTAAGGTTGTGGTTTGAGCACTCTTGCTTCCTCCACCAATAAAAACTTACTTCCAAGAAATACCCAACAGTGCTGAAAGTGGGGTTGAATACCAATCAATCAATCAATCAATCAATCAATCAATCTGGAATTCCGCATTAGAGGGTGTTTGCCGAATTCTTTCTAACGTACTGTCCTCTATTGCAAATGCGTCTGAAACTGTCATTTTCATTGCATAATACATACCAAGATGAGGTTGGACTTACTTATATTAAACCAGAGACATACCGCTATTTTGACATTTAAACAAATAACATTTACGATACCTATTTGCATGCACCAGATGCGCAATTGGCAATAATGTCTCTTCAGTCATGATTGGGATTGTCATATCAGAAAATTCAAAACCTAGTACAAACTTTGGAAGAGCTGATCACAGCAAAAAGGGCCTAATGTGTAGCCAAATCCGGATAAGAAATCAGAGCTTGGCATGAGGGATATATATTTATTTATTTAAGATGCTTTCCAAAAAATTTGAAGAAGATGTGATATGAGTGCCAATGAGACGACTCTCCATCCAAGTCAAAATTTATAAAAGTAAACCATTATGGGTCAAAGTACGGTCTTCAACACGGAGCCAAGGCTCACACCGAACAGCTAGCTATAAAGGGCCCCAAAATTTACTAGTGTAATCCATTCAAACGGGAAAACCAACGGTCTAATCTATATAAAAAACGAAAAACGAGAAACACTTATGAACCACATCAACAATCGACAACTACTGAACATCAGATTCCTGACTTAGGACAGGTGCAAAAAATGTATTGCCAATAGTTAATCCATGCATTATTATTCTGTCGGTTGGAAAGAGTTCGAGTTTTACAAAGCAATGCTTATTTTTTTCGAATAATAGCTACAATATTGTTTTGACGAGAACGGCATGCCATATACTTCGATTTACACCCGTTCTTACAACCCTGATAGTACATTGGCTAAAGCATGTACATAAATAGCCAACACAATCATTGCCACTTTGATAATATATTTACTAGATAAAACAAAATCACATTTAATTAACCCATTTCTCTGACGTCATTCTATTGTTCTTACAGTGGATTATTTTTCAAGAATCCACTGACCACTTCGTTAACTTAAGATAACTTATTTTATAACTTTAAACTTTTAACTTACGATTTTTATCCTCTCAAAAACGAGTGGCATATGAAGTGTTCGAACTCGCGCGTATTTTCTTCATAATCAGTAGAGTCTTCAGTCTATGCATGATACCACTATACCACGAGTGCTCACATAAATAAATATTTAAATAACACTCTTAAAGCGCACAACTGTCAATACATGTCAATAAACTGTATTTCTATCTCAGAGATAATTCGCTTTTGTTATCTAATAAAATATATATACTATGTCTGGATTTGTTCATGCTCTTTTCAAATTTATTTATATCACGTCATTGAACGGACTCTAATTTGAATAAAGTGTGATATATAAGCTACGACCGTAAAACTACTTCTTTGACTGTAAAACCAGAAACAAAATCATCGCCTTTAAATGAAAATGAAGTATATAATACCTCTAAGAGAAAAATTTTACAATGAAAAAATTCCATTCCGGATACAAGGTTCGAACTTTGCACTGTTAATATCACCGTTATGACATTCGTTACCAACGACTAGACGATCACGTCTATGAACAGCTTGATGGTAAGTTTATGAAATCAAGATAATTATTCATTGTACATCCGTAGCAAGAGCAATTCTGAAGGGGATTCAGAATGCGTACCTCAGATAAAACTAGTTTATTGACCGGTGAACGATATATGTCAAATGTAATAACGTTTAAATAATCGTAACTTAATGAAACGGAAACAGTTTAAACAGATTTAAATATAATTGTTCAATTTAAATCGTAAGTACATAATTTTAATATTTAAGGAAAGCAACATGAATTTGAGCATCATGAAATGGCAGATTTATGGCATCTACCCTATCAATATTTGTTTGACTAAGAACGGCTTAGCGGTGTTGAGTCTTCAATAAACTAAAACATGTTGCTCAATATTATATATATAAATTTTGAAGGTTCTAAATTTTGGTAATTAAAATTTTTTAACTTTTCAAAACAAGATAAATAAATTCTGTATATTAATATATGTCTTTTTGAATAAATTAAATATACCAAAATCTATTCGATATAAATAATTTGTAATGATTAAACATTAAATGAAATATGTATATACAAAACTAAAATCTGGTGTTAAAAAGGGGAGCTAACACCTTATTTAAGTTATCTTAAACTTATGTTAACTTGTCAAATGTCTAATTATAGATGCGAACCGTGTGGATATAATCATTTCCAGCTATGATAGAATAAAAAAGACAAAATACGAAACTATTTTTATGAAATATCGTTGATTCATTGTCAAACGTAAAACAGGCAGTCGTTTTAATAGAAATGGGTTAAGCTAGAGAATTGATAAGAAGTAGTAGATTCGAAAACGATAATCAACTTGCGACTAAAGTCGCTCGTTGATTATCGTTTACGAATCCACTACTTCTTATTAATTCTCTACTACGGAATGACTGTAATATTTTTCTGTCTATGAAGAAATAACATAAAAAATGTGGTGCACACTGAATAACCCTCGTTTCGGGTTATTCAAAAATGTGAACCACATTTTTTAGGATATTTCGAATAGACATAAAAAATATTACAGTCATTCCTTATGATTTGATTCGAAATTCCATTTTAAAGGAGTAAATCATGAAAAATACGTGATGTCACGGTCACATGACAAAATAATGTCTACGAGCTGATAGACAAAAAACTTTCAGCCAATCAGAAGACGTGTTACATCCAAAATTAAATTATACACCCATACGTCTATGTTTTAAAGATGTCAAGAAGTTTTTTGAATACTTATTTCTTACATTCGAAGTCAACCAACATCACAGTCCAATCACATAAAATGTTAATGCTGTTAATTTCTAAAACCTAACTTTTAGCTTATTATAATTTGGATGAATTGTTAATTGAAAATTTGAAGAAAAAAAAATCAATATTATTTCACTGGGTAGTAATTATTTGTTTGAAATTAAACGTCAACTCAAATGAAACACAAGTTATTACTGCAAATTATATCCGTATACCATGAAAGTCTGTACGAGGCACATTATAAAACAAATAACCAACATTTGCTTACCTTACTTAATATGCCATACTCACTTTCCACTTGCATTGCTTGCATAACTCGACTTGTTGTTTATGTTTTCGTCCTAAATATGCGTGTATTACATTTTTTGTCATCCGACATTCAACATGACTATTAAGAATATACCTTAGTTTGATTACCGCGAAAAATTTGTTCGAAATTATCTCGATTGACAGATATTTATTCAAATATAAAAATAAGAAGATGTTTTGCCTCCAAAGGTTACAATCTTCAGTCAGACGACATTATTTCTGAAACAGGAAATTATTTTGAACCGATTAAACTTTCTGTTACATTTAACATGTTTAACAGCTGTTTGCATATATTTGAGAAAACCTAGTCAGTACTTTGAAAATACAACATGTATTACACAATCGATTAATCGACCAAAACTTATTGTTTAAATTATTTCCTTGTTCCTGTTATTTGTTAAAAATGTTTTTCCACCACTTTATGTCACAATAGTTTAGAATAGCTAATTGTGTCATTGTTTTTAAATGTATTTGATGTGCAAGATAATAAAATCAGAAAATACCAGTTTCAATTGAGCTTTAATTACAAGAAAAACTTCCAACACATATTTTTAATATTCCTTTTGATAACCTCCTCATCAAAGTATCTGTTTTTTTTTTTTTTTATTAACTGTATCAAAATGATTGGTTCACCATTTAAATCCATGTTATTATACGTCAACTTAACATTGGCACAATCATCATTTCTACAAAATATGTAAATAGGTTTCCGTCCGAAGTCCTACTATATTAACGTCCATTCATGTTTTGTTTTTTTAAAAATCAAAAACTAAAGACAGAAACTCAATTTTTGAATCAATTGGTTTTGTCGTTTATTGCAGAGTGGTATATGAAAATTTAGATTTTTAGACTGTTGTCTCTTTTCCTGCATAGCTATGTTAAATTAAGTTTTTTTTACATTTTTAACTAAAAGTATTTATGGTTTTGATATATTTAAAGGCGGTCAGCAAGGTGACATTTCAAACTCATCAGTCGAAAACAAACTGGCGACGCCATAGCAAAAAAATCTGAAAACGACGAAAAGACGATCAAGTCGATAAAACACTAGAAAGAAAACTAAAGACTGAGCAACACGAGCCCCATCAACACCCATGGTAAACTCATGTGTCCCAAAAAATTTACGATTGCACACCTTATTGTAAGTACACCTGATTTAGTATCATGTACTTTCTATCAGCAGAAACATACCTTAATTTTATGGTAAATGATAAACAAAACATCAGACACAGCGAGGTGTTGTGTGTGTAACATGTGTGTAAAACTGATATTCACCTTCTGCTGCATTAGTGGCACCCATCGTCTTGATAGTTTTGACAACAAATGTTGTCATAAGTCGCGTACGCTGACATCAAAAAACTAAATTAAATACAATATCACGTAAAATCTCACATCAAATATAATTTTTGTTTACAGCAGTTGAAGATAAAGATAATATTATACAATTACTGTCTTTTAATTAGGTAAATGTGTGGTTTTATTGACTTTTGAAAAACTGATATTCACTGAGGCCAACGGCCGAAGTGAATCTCACTAGGTTTTTCAAAAGTCAATTAAACCACATATTTACCGAAACAAAAGACAGTAATTGTTTAATTCCATGTTCTGAGCGAGAAAAATATGTATAAAATAGCAGTTATTTACCAAAACCAACTAAACGTCAAACATTGTATCGTTATTATACACGTAAAAGCACGCGACATTTTGCGCGGTGAATATACTTTTTCCGCAGGTGAATATGCTTATTTATTCAAAATCCCATTCATATAGAAAAACCTACTAAAGTTCTATCAATATAATATAATATTATTTATTGGCACAGTTATTTAATCAAATGTGTTACTATTCGATTATTTGTAATTTATAATATAGGACTACCAAATCTGATTTAGCATTACAAACATACCTGAATAGATCTTCTAAAGCCTTTCTGTAAGCTTATAGTTGTATAATTTATTCTGCTACATATGACAGAAGTTTTACTCTTATTCTATGGTTGTCAAGTAAATATTAAAATATGTAAGTGGTTTATCAATCATATACCTACACGCCTTTTAAATTGTTTATCCAATGAAAATTTATATTTTTACACAGCGTTAACTGGTATTCCTGTACTTTGTTGTTTTTAACCACTGTAAAGTCCGGTAATTTAAAAGATAGCAAACTGTTTTTCAATTTTCAAATCAATAAAATGTATGTGTAGTGCAGGGTTATAGAATTGGGAAAGACCAATATGAAATATGCCGTAAATTCAAAAAAGCACAGACAAGGAAACAAATATTCTAACAGCTTCCGTATTACAGTTTATATTGTTGTTAAAAAATTTGTATCAGAGAAGAATTTTATTTTACCCTTTTAAATCCATGAAATGATATTTCATCCTTAAATGGTAACAATTAACATTTCAAAAAACAATATGAAAATAAATATCCGTCCGTACTCTGTTTATATTGTGTCCATTCGTTTTTCGTTTTGCAATATTAAAAAGTAAAAACAAAAACTCAATGTGTTATCGTTTTCCGTTGTTAGAAACAAAAAAAACAAGATTTGTTTGTATATCATAAAAACAAAGACAACGAACAATAGCTTCCAGGTAATCAGCAACTCTCTTTCAAGGAAATCATGATATGAAACGTAAGCCCTGGAATATTGTATCTTCTGAGAGATATATAATCATTTACACGAACTGATAAAATGCTACTATATTTAAATGGACAGTTCGTAATTGGGAAGCTAAAATCATCATTTCTATCGTAACTGTTTTTCTCAACACTGACCCTCGTTGTATATTGCTAGCTGTAGGTTACGATATGATGTTAAAATATATCGGTAGTAACCCTTATTTCAACTTCGATGGAATGGATGCGTTTAACAAAGTCAGCAAACTCTGGATTATTTGATGAGGCGACATAAAATATATAGTAAAACGTGAAGTTAAAGAATAACATGGATAATAATAGCTTCTTTTCAGATTCTAATACTCCAGTTAATAAAGGCAGTAGATCTATTAACTTTTTAGAAAGATGGAATTCTAAGGTGATGATGATGATGGCAAAAAAAAACAGAGCTGCAAATATTACACGCCTATTGCAACTACCGGAGAAAAATAAAAGCTAGAATAAGGCAATGTACTGATGCTAGATTACATTAAAATCAATCAAAATTGATACAGAAATTAAAATTAGAAAGCTTACCCTATCAAATAAATCTACATTTAGTTAAAATTCGTATGTTATAATATAAACATTACACCCTTTATAATAAAGGTTTTTTAAAGAACTACATTCTATGGCACTGAACTGGTTACCGTAACTGGGATCCTTTTTAATTAATGTTACATTACTAAGGAACTTGTGTCAGATCAAAAACAAACAAAATAAAGTGGTGATCATTAATTATGAACAAATAGCAAGTATGCTTCAAAACTAGTACCTCAGTTATATAATAACAGTGACTATCCAAAAAGTATACATTTGTACATATTGTTGCTCTATTTGAACTTTCTTGAGGAGGAGAATTCTGAACACTTTGTTTTTTCCCCCATTCGAACCGACCCTGCATTTTAATAGATTACCTACAAGCATCAGCCTGTTGTATGAAATTTGCAAATGTACACCAACATCTCAATCAACAAATTCACAATACAACACGCTAATTAATAAATACAAATATACTATTGTATAATATTTAGGACGATATCAAATGCAAGATTTTGAAACGAACAGTGAATATTGACATGATCAAATGTGAAATGTGATGATCTTTTTGAAAGCAAAAACAGCAATGTTTCTAAAAAGAAATTAAAGGTCGGTTAATAAATTAATCATGTTAATGGATTGGCAGATATGTAAATAGCTCACAGTCTAATTTCACGATCAATCAAGTGCCATAACTCGAAAAAAACATATTGGAAAATTAAAGAGGACTGATGATTATTTATTCATGGCAAAGTGCAGCTGCCCGTGATTTTTTCTGTTGGAAAATCCGATTGAATCCGGTTAAAATCATTCACAAGGTTTTTCTTTTCATTAATGCGAAGCATACGTAATTGCATGCCTCTAGCAGAATTCGGGATACAAAAATGTGCGTCGTTAGTTACGCAAGTTATCTCTCTTACTCCAAGAAAGGACAATGGTCACACACCCGAAAAAATACTTAGTGTGGATTTTCAAGTATGCATGTTTTATTTCAAAACTTCGAAGAAATGATCTGTATGACTCCAATCAGAAATTTTTGTATCATTCTGCAACCTCTGTTACCGGTGCAGACCCACCCAAGAGGATACAAAATAAAACTTGTGTTTAAAGCATCAAAAAAATAAAACGCTTCACAACGAAAACATACATAATAAACACATTAAACTTGTTTCGATTTTGCTTTTATTGGTACCAAATTTGTTAAAATCAAAATAATAATGACCCTGCAAATTTTTTGGGAACACCGTAGTTTTATATGAAATACATGCAGTTGCATAACATTGTGATATAGGTAACAAATGGCATCATAATATGTTAATGTGCGTGTTGATCTAGAAATCATTGACATGTTTGGTTTTTTTTTTATAATAACACAAAGCTTACTATTAGGTATATGAATGCAATTGAAAGCTATAGCACATATTTATTTTTTTTTTTTTTTTGAAAAGTAAGAAGGTATTAAGGCGGTATTCGAACTCTAGTGCTATATTTACAAGTTGAAGAGCAAGGAAGACAAAAAAAATCATCAGAGTCTGATTTCAAAAACTTACATTGTTTAAACCTGTTTATTTACTTTTGACTTTAATTGTTTATCACTTGTAATTTTTTATTAACTGTGTATTTGCATTCAGGTGTCACAGGTCAAATTTATTCGTTTATTGTGTGTTAATTTACGTTTTTTGATTGAGTTAAGCCTTCCAATTGATATTTTATAGTGTGTTTTTCTATGTTGTGATGTTATACTATTGTTTCAGAAAAGGGAGAAGGTTTGGTACCATTAAAACGTTTAATCCCGCTGCAAATGTTTGCACCTGTCCTAAGTCAGGAATCTGATTACAGTAGTTGTCGTCTGTTTAGGTAGTTCATACGTGTTTCTCGTTTCTCCTTTTTATATAGATTAGACCGTTGGTTTTTCCGTTTGAATGGTTTTACACTAGTAATTTTTTGAGGCCCTTTATAGCTTGCTGTTCGGTGTGAGCCAATGCTCCGTGTTGAAGGCCGTACCTTGACCTATAATGGTTTACTTTTATAAATTGTAAGCTGGATGGAGAGTTGTCTCATTGGCACTCATACCACATCTTCCTATATCTAT